ATTAGATTTTTTTGGGGTTAAAATGGGCTTTTTTTAAATTTTTTAAAATTTTTTGAAAATTTTTTGAAATTTTTTTTGAGAGAAATAAAGTTTAACCGACTGAGGATCAACAACGTATTTTAAAAACCGATTTTTTCGTAAAAAAAAGTCATCAAATGTCTCAAAAAGCAAGAAAACTATCAATAATCCCATTTTTCTACTAAAAAATCAATTTGGAAAATAATACGACGTATTCTAAAATAAAAATTTTCATTCATAAGCGACCAAAATGCACTTCTAATGAGGTAATTTTTTCATTTTTAAAAATTTTTATGTTTGAAAATTTTTGATTTTTGTTGGAAAATACTCTTTTTATGACTCTTAATGTCACTCAATTTACCTGCAAAAATCGCTTAAACCCTTGCTCGTACTTTAAAACACCATTTTCTCCCAAAAAATCGATAAAAATATTGGTGAAAATTGGTGAATAGTTGCAAAATGAGGTACTAAAACATATAAAAATTACCGAAAAATATGCATAGGGATCAGTAAAAAAAATTATTTGTCCTAAAATAACATTTTCTACCAAAAAACCGACCAAAAAACGACTTTGACCCCGACGTGATTCGAACACGCAACCTTCTGATCTGGAGTCAGACGCGCTACCGTTGCGCCACGGAGTCACACCAGCCCAGCCCTTTTTTCCCCTTTCGAAAGGCGAAACGAAATGAGAAAAGTGAAGGAAAAATCGGATTTTCGACGAAAAAATGAAGAAATAAATCGCTGCTTACAATGTCACGGATTGTTAAAAAAGTAATCGCATTGGCTACGTCGAATTTCCGCGGCCTTATGACACGCTATTTTATGGTGGGGGGCTTTGTCGAAATGCGAGACGGAAGGAATTTTCGCGAGTCTTCCCCGTCGTAAATGCCAATGTATTGCGGCGCTTTACACGCTTACATGAGACTGATAAGCCGCGGATTTGGATCGAGTAAGGGGAAAACAGAAAATTTGCGGCGAATTTGCGAGAAATTTGGGGATAAAAAAGTGGACGATCAGATGTCATGGAGAAGAAAAAAGAGGCTCGGAAGTGAAGTGAAATTACTTGGAAATGGTCTGTAATTTTGACATATTAAATATAAAGTATTATAAGACTTGTGTATGGCGTATTTTACATCTTTATTTATCTTAACAAATCAAAAATCTTGAATTTTGGTCGTTTTTGCGCTAAAATCTTACTTTTTTTATAAAATCTGCCAAATTGTATAACCTAAAAAGCCATTTTCTACACCGTACATCTAAACAGAACAAATTTTAACCCTTATAATTTCCAAAAACAAATAAAAAATCTCGAAAAATAGGAATTTTTGGGACTTTTCCGGTCAAAATTTGACTTTCTCTTTATTGTGATCAAAAAATAAATAGTCAACCTTTTTGAATAAGACGCAAAAAGCGTTTCGTCTTAATCGCTGGCGTATTTTACCTCTGCTTTCTCCTTACTATCGTAGTAATTTCCAAAAATTCTGGATTTTTTGATGACTTTTCGAAAAAAAAGAATTTTTTTTTGAACTTCACAATAAAAATAAGTGGTAAAATTAGCCGGATATCATGTATATATGTCTAATAAACCTTAGGCAGCCTTTTTTCTTTACATTCAATTCCTTTTAAATTAAAAAAAAATCGAATTTCCCCCTTTTTTGCCCAAAAAAACTATTTTTTTGCCTGTTATGCCCTAAAAATCCCGCTAGTTTAATATTAAACCCTCTCTTTACACTCTACTCTTCCTAAATATGGATTTACAGCCCATCCACCGCATCCTTCTGTTGGCAAAACTCCGAAAAATTACAGCAGACTCATCCCAAAAAAGGCGAGTTTAATAAAAAATGATGACGTCATCTTGAGTAATAAGGTGTTTTAAGACCCTTGAAAATGTAGAAATAATCGTATTTTACAAAAAAAATCTTACTCTAAGTCGGGAAAATCGCTAAAAAATCGCTAAAAACCCACAAAATTAATTCAAAAAACCGCGGAAAAGAACAATGGAATCCCAGGCGAAAATTTCATCGGAAAGCGCCGAAAATTTATGCAGATTTCGTTCGCATTGTTTTCAGTGAATCACAGCGCTCAGAGTCACCGAGAACCGGCGAATTTTTGCGAGGTTTACCTGAAACAACGGAGAGAAGGGAGAAAATGAGAAAAATGTGGGATTTTTTAGGGAAACTGGGAGAAAGTTGATGGTAGAATACTTGATTTGTCACGTGTATAATATGAAGTCCACAGTATTAGTTATGCTGTAAAAATCTTGATACAGTCCTCTATGAGGATGTCACGACTTCGCGTACGAATTTGCATATTCCCGCGGAATGACCCACAAATTGGTATAAAAGGAAGAGAAATCGCCAATTATTGGTATTATTTTTGTCTGTTTTTCCCGGTTGTGTTGTGGCCAATAAAGTCTACTATATTTACTATTTGTCTTATTGATTTGTCTATGGTCACATCGTCTGGAGTCAATATCGTGAGTTCACAGTTTGATTGCCAGAGTCCTCTAGTTTGCGTCTCCGGGTTAGGTAGTGAATACTAATAGAAGCGGGCGAGTTAAGGGCCATCTTACACCACGACTCATAGCTAAGTCGTGACAAGGAAAAATATCAAAAAAACTTAGTTTTTTTCCTGATTTATCAACTCAAAATAAAAAATTGGTGACATGCACTGTGAGAAAACAAAAGTTCTCTTTACACGCAATTTTCCACCGAAATGAAAAAAAAACTTTTTTAATCTACATGAAAAAGGTAAAATACGGGGTCGTATGTTTTTTCTCTACTTTTAAGTTGCCCGTTTAAAATAAAAAAATTTGCAAAAAATCAACGGAAAATAAAAAAAAAATTAAATGCAATGTAAAATACGTCTTTCGGCTCATTGACCATTTATTTTTGAGATTTACATAAAGCAACAGTCTAAGTATAAATCCGTTTTTAATCTGACGCCCCCGAAATTGAAATGAAAAAATCTCGAAACCTCAAAAATGCAGGGTAAAATACGTCGTTGAAACTAGTCCATCCGGAAAGTCGCCGGACTGAAATCGGCAACACCGCTGTGAGAAAACAAAAGTTCACTTTGCACTGTGCAATTTATCGTTTTTTTCGCCGTTCAATGAGTTTTTTCGGTTATCGCTCACCTGACTTTTTTGGCACAGTGCAAACGCCAAAAATCAGTGGGGCGACTTTCTGGAATAACTAGGAAGCCACAGAAAGACTTCAAAATCAAGTAGATCTTTGGATTGAAGAATAAATTTATGTATTTAGTAATCACACATGGGGCGTTTCTGAATAAATTTCTGGGAACTGGGGGCGAACTGGAGGTTACTGTGTAAAAATTGTTAAAAATTTTTGTAAAAAGTACCTTGGTCCCCCTTTAACCATTTTTTCTTCATTCCCGGCCTGAGGATACACCCGTTTCAACCCTAGCTACGCCCCCGTAATCACAATTTTCCCCCACAAATGCAAAAAAAAAAAAAACACAAAATCCAAAAAATATGGTAAAAAACGGGGATTACACTATTTCGTCTCAACTTTTAAACTGCCCGTTTAAAACGAAACAGAAATTGCAAAAAAACGATGGAAAATAAAAAAATTTTTTTACAATGCAGGGTAAAATACGTCATTGCTGAAAATGGGCTCTTTAACATCTGTGGCTTTTTTGAAACTAGATTTACATAAAGCAACCGTCCAAGTTTACACTCATATTTGACCTGACGTCCCCAAAATTTAAATCAAAAAATCTCGAAATCTCAAAAATGCAGGGTAAAATACGTCGTTGATAAATGCCGGCTCATTAGCATCTATCGCAATCTTTGACTCAGGATTTACATACAACAACCGTCCAAGTTCACATCCAGCTTTAACCTGACGCCCCCAAAATTGAAACATTTCCGAACGAAACCCCCAAAAATTCCTTTCCATTCAGCCCGACCTCTCCTACCGTAACCCGCAAGAGTCGGCTGGGTGGATATTTTGTCCCGCTGAGCGGCGCTCTCAGCCTTATTTTTAACCTCGACTTGCCGTTTCGCGGCTTTGAACCCACCCTCCGACATTAGGCGAGGGTTGGATATACGGGAAGACAAAGGCGGCTGAAAACGGTAGAACACAGGGCTTAATGAAAATATGGAGGGTTAAAATACGTATTAGACACCGTTGAAGATATAGTCTGTGAAAAAAATGGATGAGAATTCTAGTTTTTGGAGTTAAAGGAGTTACAAAAATGGGTCATTTTCTTAAGATTCTGAAAAAATAAATAGTTTTTTACTAAATATTACTGTCAATGAAGCTAAAATCTGATATGTAGATTGAGAATAAATTACTAAAGTTTAGATTGAACATCGAATTCTATGATTTTAGCCGTTTTTTACGACGCTGCGGAAAATTTTTCAAAAAGTGGGTGTTATTTGGAAATTTTGACCTAAAGCAATATAAAATGTGTATATAAAAGCAGCTCGGGGTAAAATACGCCCAGGATTTCGATTGAATAAAAGCCGAGAAGTGATGAGAAACCTGGAAAAATAAAAAAAAAAACAAAAAAATTTCCTAAAAATACCCATTTTTGTATCTAAATTATCGGTGAAATACGGAACGAATTTGTGTTAACAAAGTTTTTATGGACACTAGAGGACCTACCGATGTATAAAATGTAAAAAAAACCTTACAAATAAATCCAGTTTTGATATTTTCTGTAAGTTTGGCCATGAGGTCTCACTTGAGGTCATGGAGAAAGTCGGCTTATAACTAAAACGCTATGATAGGTAATAACAAGATATTTTGCTGAAATATCTCCATCCATAACTACTTTTAACTGCGATAAATTCTACAAAACATAGTAGAGGTATAGTCAAGGTATCTTCATATTACTCTACCCATTAAAGCTGATCCCCAACCCCTCAAAAACCTCAAAACCCCAACTCAGCTAACCTCAATCTCCCTGAATGACCCTAAAATTAAACTCGCTACTGTCTTAAAAGACCTTTTTCATAAGCATCCAACCGTTTCCAATCTGCGCGCAAGACGGGGAAACGAAAATCCGCATGGAGCTGAAGATTGATGACTGGCCTTCTGTTTCTCACATACGAAACACTTCAACCATTCAGGATGCCCTCTTTCTTTGGTGGCTGAATAATGAGAAGCTTAGGTTCGAAATCGGCTTCACTTTGTTGGTATCGATTGCACGATGGAATGAGATTTTGGGGAATTTTGGGATTGCACTGTGCAGAGGTAAATTGAAGGGAAATGGTGGTCGTATTGTGTAAAGAAAAGAAGTTTGCTAAATTTCGAGTTGCCTTAGGACTTGAACGACTCTGCACTGTGCAGTAAAAACTATTTTTTTGCTGCACTGTGCAAGACAATTCATTTTGAGAAACTGCACTGTGCGGAGGAAATTTTAAAGAAAAAATGTGGTCGTGCTGTGTAAAAAAATATCTTGGAAAAATTTTTAGTTGCCTTAGGGCTTCAACTAATCTGCACAGTGCAGAAAAATTCATTTCTTTGCCGCACGGTGGAAAATAATAAAGTTTTGAAAACTGCACTGTGCAGACGAAATTTTAAACAGGAAATCCCTTGGGCTGGGCGGAGAAAAGAATTGACAGGAATCTGGGAAACATATAGGCGATAAATAACTTGTATTGTCGGATAAATGTTCGATTTTTTCTTGCACTCTGCAAAAATCGGATTTCTTTAATCTGCACAGTGCAAAATAATTTTTCGAAAATTTCTCGAAATTTCCCGGTCCGGTGAAAAAACAATGACGTCAGCATAGTCAACAGACCCGAGTTGAAAATATTTTCAGGTAAAAAATCTCAAATTCTGCATTTGCACGGTGCAAAAACTAATATTTCCGATCTGCACCGTGCAAAAACAACTTTTCCCGATTGCACAGTGCAAAATCCAAAAATTTTTTTTTGCACTGTGCGAAAAAACCCCACTACTGTAAAACAAAAAAAATAATAAAAAAAAATCTTTAAATTTGACCCTGAGCGAAGTAATAAAAATGAAAAATTTTTATCCCGTGGATCAAAAAAGTGTGACTGCACAGTGCATGGGACTGAAATTTTCAATAACTCTTTGAGAAATGCCGCCGGCCCGCGGGGCCATAACTCCATTTATAATAAATTCCGCGAATCCCCCATCCGCCAGTAAATCACCGAAGGGCCAGTTTTAATAACTTTTGCGGGATGACATTCGAGCATTACTTTGTGGGGGAGATTCTTTTTTTGAGGAGAGATGTACAGTAATATAATATTGAAAACGTATATGGCAATGTTATTTGTGGATTTAAAAAGCGCTTATGGTGTCTGACGTATTTTACAAACTAAAAAAATTAAAAATTCCATTACTGTGGCTTGTCAAAAAGTGCCTAATGCTCTCCAGTTTTCCTCAAATCTTGCGGAAGTTTTCTATGTAGGTTCTGAGCAAATCTTAAAGTTCTTCTCCCCGAGATATTCAACCATCTCTTGTCGATGAAAGAATGTGCAAAATTAACCTCCTTACAACGAAAGCCCTATAAAATGGGTACATTTACAGGCTCCTTGTAACTTTGCGCTTACAAGTGAAAAATTGATAAGCTGAAGAAAGTCCATACTGGTGACTTATTGTTAGAGGACTGTTGAAGGCCTCAGACTGTGTAAGAAGAATTATAAACAGCCAAAATTGACTGCGGACCTTGAGGGCAGAGTTGTAGCTCACCAAAGGTCACGGCAAAAAGCTCACGAGTTATTGACGGGAACAGGAATCGAACCCGAGTCAAAAGAAAGACCTGCTAACCACTCTACCATCGAAGCTCGCTTCCTGCATTTTTTGGACGGTCTTCTCGGTGGACTTCTCGTTGGAAGCCAGATTCTCCTTAACACTGCCTGCGCCTTCAACATCCACCAGGTCATAGGTCATCGATCTGCAAAAAATGTGACTCCCTTTGCTAGACTTTATTTGAACTTGAAATTTTTATTGTAATTTCTTTTGTATCTTGATGACGGTTGATCGTTACTAGTCGGTTTGCAAAGTTGCTGGAGTGATTTCGACGACATGCACTGTGAGAAAACAAAAGTTCACTTTGCACTGTGCAATTTTCTGCTTTTGCACCGTGCAATAGACTTTTTTTGGGCTGTCGCACTCTGACTTTTCTTGCACAGTGCAAGCGCCAAAAATCAGTCCAGCGACTTTGCGAACGACCTAGTATATAATATTGAACTTGATTTTTTTATTGTACGTTTTTTTATGGTATCTTGATGACGTTTCATTATCATATATAATATGATACACACTATGAAATGCGCGGCGTATTTTAAACTAATGACACCTCGAAAAAATCGATTTTTTTTTTTTGAAAAATCGACGGTTTTTTACAAAAAAGCATTTTCAACTTTTCACTTTTTTTGACCTTTATCAGTCTGTCGGGAAAATATTGAGCACTCTTTCGCCGCGCCAATCGCGTCGCTGAATTGAAAAGCAATTTGATTTTCTCCGCGATACGATTCATTCTCCCAGCGGCAATGCGATTTTCGATGCGACAGAATGCCCATTATTTGCCCGACAGAATGATAAAATTCGGTGAGCCCAATTCCAAACCCATCTAAAGCAATGTTTCCAACGCTCTTTTTTTTCCTTCTTTTTCTTGTTCGAAAACATGATCCCATTGTCCGGCGTGCAATTAAACCGGCGCTTCCCAATCCAATAAAAGTGCCAGCGGGATGGGTCAACAAATTCGCCGAGGAGGGGGGAATTGAGGACATAAGTGCCCTCTAAAACAACGCCGGCGGGGCTATTACAATGCGATTGGAAGTCGAGGAAATGAAACCTCAAAATTAAAGGGGGGAATGACAGGAAAACGGGGAGGGAAAAGAAATCGTCTCTTCCAATATGACATGTAAAATACGATAATAAAAAATTACGTTTTCCAAATTTTCCAAGCCCGCGCCCGGGTCGGGCTTGGAGATTTAGGCCCGGCCCGCAGGCCCGGGGCCAATGCGTTATCTGAAAGTTTGCCGAAAATCATAGGGCGCAGCTCGGAGAATTTGCACGGGCGCAGCTCGCGTCTTGGGCGCAGCTCGAAAACAAGCCGAAACTTACAAGGGAAGTACCCCAAGTGCAACGCTCAGATTTTCTTTCAATTTTGAACAGACATCTGGCATGAACTAAATAACAATTCCTGAAAGTTTTAGCTTGCGCTTTTCAGGCGCCACCGAGATATTGAACAACTTTGCCGCCGTGAGAGCACGCTAAACGTGGAGAGCGGTCAGAGGGGAAACCGCTTTTTGGCCATAACTTTGGCAATTTCGTGCGGAAAAAATTGATTTTTTGTGGAAACAGTACCCTCTATGGTAGAAATAGGCACGAAACTTTTCGTGCCGAAATTCGGCAAAAAGTGTCAAATTTTCCCCCACTTTCGATCTAAAAATCTCGGTTGTTTCTGCAAAACGCGAGCTACGACTCCCGCATATATCTTAGAAAAAATTATTCTAAATTTGTGCCAAGTTTCATCAAAATCTGAGCGTCGCACTTGGAGTACTTCCCTTGTTAGCTAAGGCGAGCTGCGAAAGCTTGTTTTCCGAGCTGCGCCCTACCATTTTCAGCTAACTTTCAGCAAACTTTCAGATAGCGCATTGGCCCCCGGTTTGCAGACATCCTTAGTACACTCTATGAAAATGCTAATATCAGTCTGTCGGGAAAATAATGAGCACTCTGTCGCATCGAAAATCGCATCGCCGCCGGGAAAATGAATTGTGTCGCGGCAAAATCAAATTGCTTTTCTTTTCTACATATAAAGTTGCAAAGTGCCATGTATATCATCGTATAACGAAAAGGCGCAAAAAAATTATTTGCAATGCTACTAAACGCGCTGACAAATCAGAGAAAACGCACTGCAAAAATTCCTCTTTTTGATGGGACTTTATGCCTCGAACAACAATTTTAGGAAGCAAGAGATCATAATAAAAATGGAGAGAGGGTCAGAGAAAATGTCTTCTACCACTAATATGAGTTGTAACAAGCATGAGAAAAAGTTCAAGATGTACTGTGCAAAGGAAAAAATGTCCATGCACTTTATGAAAATGATGATAACAGTCTGTCGGGAAAATTATGAGCACTCTGTCGCATCGAAAATCGCAGAAAACGAATTTGTGTCGGGGCAAAATCGAATTGATTTTCACTTCAGCGACGCAATTGGCTCAACAATATTGATTTTTTTTTGTGTATTCCTTTCTTTACATGGCTAAAAAACAAAAAAAAAAGTCTTTAAAAATCCTGCGCTATACCGCAGGAACCAGAAAAATTTCAAAAAATTTCAAATATCGAAAATCTTAAACATCATAAACAGCCCAGTAAACCCTCTAAAATCCACCCAAATCTTGTCCCAGCTTGGTCTTTCCCACTTCAAAATCAAATTAAGTGTACCGCCGACACTTTACAAACACCACTTGTCCGCCGGTTTAAGGATCGGTTACATCTTGAGAAGGGGAATGCCGCCGAAACAATTCGTCATCGCGGTTCCTTTCGGGGCCCCTCTCAAGTCCGTCTAATCCAATCAACCACAGCCGGGCATGATCAAATCGGTGGAGAGGAAAGGTGACAAAGGTCGCAGAAAAGGTGAGGACCATCAAGAGGTGGGGGAAATATTGAGATTTTGCAGGGTATGAGAGAGAAAAAATTGACTAACAAGGGGAAGTACCCCAAGTGCGACGCTCAGATTTTCCTTAAATTTTGCACACACGTCGGGTATGGACTAAATATCAATTCCTGAAAGTTTTAGCTCGCGACATCGAACGATTTTTGCCGCCGAGAGAGCACGCTAAACGTGGAGAGCGGTCAGAGAGAAAAACGCTTTTTGGCCATAACTTTGGCAGTTTCGTGAGGAAAAATTTGATTTTTTGTAGAAACATTATCCTTTACGATAGAAATAGGCATGAAACTTTTCGTGCCGAAATTCGGCAAAAAGTCCTAAATTTTCGCCGACTTTCGATCTAAAAATCTCGGTTGTTTCTGCAAAGCGCGAGCTAGGACTCTCGCATATATCTTAGAAAAAATTATTCTAAATTTGTGCCAAGTTTCATCAAAATCTGAGCGTCGCACTTGGGGTACTTCCCCTGTAAATTGCACTGTGCTGCTTAAAATTTTTTGAGATTTTCACTGTGCAGGGGACAAAAATGGCCTGATGTGAATGAAAATTGATGTAAATGGAAAAACAGATGGTTTTCCAAGACATTTGAGAGATTTTTAGCACACGCTATGCAAAAATTTTTGAAATTTTTAGATGGAAAAATGGCAAAAGAAAAATTTTTTTGGGGTTTTCACTGGAATGTAGACAGAAAACTAATCAAGTCTAAAGGAAACTTGCTGCAAATTTAAAAACAGACGGCTTTCTACCAAATTTGAGTGATTTTTAGCTCACACTTCGCAAAATTTTTTTTGATTTTTAAGCTGAAAAAGGGAAAAAAAAAAATTTTTTTTTGTATTTTTTGGAAAGAAAAATTGACAATGAATGACTTGTAAAAAAGAAAATAATTCCGCAAAAAATTGATTTTTTCTACAAAAAACCACATAGTTATACGATAAAAAATTTTTTTCAGGGCAGCCAAAAAAATAGAAACTGCACGGTGCAAAGAAGTTTTCAGCGAAAGAGTTTTGGAAAAAGTTCCTTATTTTGGCCACATGGCCACAACAAAGGTACTCCGCGAACTGCGCCCAAGCTTGGGCACTAAAGTTAGGAAAAAACGCTTCGACCTAGCTGGAACTAAATTACTATAATAGCTCTATAGTTTTAAGGGTACCTACGAAGGCTGTGACGACTCATTTAGTTCCATACGGAGGCAATAGGTTTAGTTCCGGTCATGTTTCATCGTATAAAGTGTAAAATCACAGGCTGCAGCCGTTTTTGAAGGGTAAGATGGTACGTAAAAAAGAAGGTACCTCGCTAACTAAATCCACTGTCCGGGCATTGACAACGATGAATTGAGCGTGCACGCTAAATTTGGGCTAATTCCGACCAGTTTCCGCAAAGTTATAAGTTGTGGCCAAAATAAGGAACTTTTACCAAAATTTTTATTTTTCGCACCGTGCAAAAAAAAGTTTTTTCAAATTCTGCACAGTGCATTCGAAAAAAGCACTTTTGCACCGTGCAAAATACAATTGACGAATTATTTGCACATCGCAGAAAAAATTTTCAAAAAAAAACCGAAATAAATATTCAGAAAATTTTGTACTGTACTTCCCACGGTTATTAATCCCAAAACAAAGGCCAAAAATGAGCGAAGGAAAACAAAACGCGCCGATGCATAGCCACAGTAAGAGAGAGGGAGACATCTGGCCGGAGATAATCCAATTATAAGTGCCAAGTGGTTATAAGGATGCGTCGCTCTTTTGTCGCGATCAAATTACCGAAACATTGGCAAGTGGGAGTTTGGAGAGAGATCTGATTTGATAAAAAAATAATTTTTGGGTTACTGTAACATAAAAAAATTTTTATTTTTAAGATTTTTTTTCAAAATATTTAATTTCGGATACTATTTTGGCCATTTTATAAAACGATTTTCAATGAAAAAATTTTTTTTTGGTTACTGTAACAAAAAAAATTTTTTTATTTTTAAGATTTTTTTTTAAAAATATTTAATTTGAGTTTGATTTTAACCACTCTAAAAATCGAATTTTTCAATAAAAAATTTTTTTTAGGTTACTATAACATCAAAAAAATTTTAATTTTTGCACTGTGCAAAATTTAGATAATTAAATAAATTCGTATTTTACCCTAAAATTCAGTCAAAACAGACGACCATCAAAAAGTTTTCGACAAATTCACCCTCCAAATCAAGACATTTATCGGTTTCATTACGCCATTCCCTCAAAAAAGGCCATTTATTCGCGCAAAAGTGCGGAAAATAATAAAATCCTTGGGATGA